CCCCCCCCCCTCAACCCCCCCCCCCCCTCCAACTTCGCAGAGGATTTGCGGCGGAGTACGTAAATATGCCCGTCAGTTGTGACGCGGACGGAGGATGGGTGGATTATGCGGGAGCTTGCTACCTCTTTCCGAGCGAGATGACGTCGGCGTTCGAGGCCGAGAGTCGGTGCCAGGAGAGAGGAGGGCACCTCGCTAGCATCCACAGCGACCAGGAAAACCTCTTCGTCGGTGAGGACGGACTTCCCTCGCGGATGACATTACGCTCTCGCATCGCAGGAAGGTCTAAGGATGTGACTTTCAGGTCGGAATGGGGAAGGAGCTCCGAGATGGATCGGTCTACAGAGAGTGGATGGCGTTTGGGGATGGAGTGATGGCTCGCCGGTCGACTATCAGAACTGGAACGAGAACTTCATCTTCAACGACACGTATGCGATCATGTGGATCGACCAATGGGTGAACGACGATTGCAGCGTGGGAAGGCCGTACATCTGTCGCCTCCACGACCAGGTCGGCGCATGTCCTCAAGGGTGGGAAAGCCTGTCTTCCGATTGCTTCCTCCTCGTGGACGCGCCTGCCGCCTTCGGCACGGCGATGGAAGGTTGCCGCGCCGCGAATCCCGCCGCGAATCTCCTCACGTTCGAGAGCCGGGACGACACGAACGACATCGTCGCGTTCGTCGTGAATTCCCTGAGCGGACGGCCCGTCACCGAGTACTGGATCGGGTACCTCCGGAACCCCAGCACGATGGCGTGGCGGTGGATCGACGGGAACGCGAACCAGGACGAGCGATGGTTCCCCGGTTACCCAGAGGAGGATGCGTCCAAGAATTGCGCCCATTTGATCCTCAGCTCCTGGGACGACTTCCCTCCGGGGTACACCTTCCCCTTCGTCTGCAAGAAGGAGCTGGCTGGGGCGTGAGACGAGGTCGACTAGTCGACTGTCGACTCCGATTGCATGCTGTGAAGTCACCATGTCGGTCTCCTTGGGATGGAATAAAGTGTGAAAAATGGATCATCCGGCTTTGAGCCTCATTAGAGGCTGAGCACTTTCATTATTCCGGACGCGGATAGCCGGCTTTACTGGAAAAAAATCTTTTTTTCAACCCTCAAGGTTGAAAGGGTCAAGGTCAAGGGGCAATGAGATCGGTCGTCCAAAGAGAATCTGAAAGAGGAACGCAGCGATTCGTTCTTGCAACCTTTTAAAAGTACGGGTTTCATATAATAGCATTTCATTTCGCCACATGGCTCACACGAGTGTCATCCTCCCCTTTACCTCCGGCATCCCAGCCTCTTTGGCCTCCAATCCCGCAATAAACGAGAAGTGAATCACGTGTTTGGTCGATATCGGTCGTTAACGTTTTTCGTGGTGGGGCAGTCGATTATGTTTTTTCCAGGCAAAAATATCTGGTTGGTACGAGTCCAGATTGTGGGTTAAATCATAAATGAATTAATTTTCTGCCCGGCCGAAAATTCTCGTTAATTCTTGAGTAATTCGAAAATCGGGTCATATATTCGAGATTTATTCAACAGAAACGAATTCGCCGTCGAAAATTCTGGACAGTGGTCATTCAAATGCGACGGCGATTGTCGCGGGAGCGACGGCGATTGTCGCGGGAGCGACGGCGGTTGTCGCGGGAGCGACGGCGGCTGCTCGTTTCTCGCTGCGAAATTCATCTACGAAACAGAACGATAGAAAAGTCATTTATTTGGACAGAGGCGTGCCCTTGGCGACCTTTTTCGTCGCTTCGGTTTCGGGACCATCACGGTTGGGAACGAGACCGAGAGGAATTATTCGCACCGCCGAGTCGTTTCGCTACTCGCAGTCGGCGGGTTCAGGAAGTTAGCTGAACTCGCTGATGATGTCGTTGGAGAGATGGTTGTTATAGACGAAGACCAAAGAAAACGATGGGGATATTGTCGTTTACGTCTCAGTATTTACAATAAAATGTGAATTTACAATTAAAATGTGCATTTACAATTAAAATGTGAATTTCAACAAAAATGTGCTTTTACAATTAAAATGTGCATTTACAATTAAAATGTGCATTTACAATTAAAATGTGCATTTACAATTAAAATGTGCATTTACAATTAAAATGTGCATTTACAATTAAAATGTGCATTTACAATTAAAATGTGCATTTACAATTAAAA